AATTAAAAAGACATAAATCATAATTAACCTGTCTTTAGTGGTCCAAAACATTCCATTAAAATTTCATTTCAATTTTGAATAAACTGCCTCGCTGAGTGCAGCTGGATACGCCCGCAGAGGTCCAACCCTGAACAGTTGGGGCAAAAATGGACACAATATTCAAGCTTGATACAGGTCTGAATTTGGATTGTAATTAAATACTTGACATATTATAGGTTTCTGAATAAATGTAGTCAAAGAACTTGAAATTGGTTATATGAATTGAGTTTATATTCAAATTAAGATTTCTTCTTCTTGTGCAATACACTGTGCTGTTGCTCAATACTTAGTAAATCTGTTGTCAGACTATATTATAAACAAATAAGGTTTAATAACTTCTCAATGTTATATCAGAAATTTATAAAAAACTAAAGGGAGGTTATCTTAATAGATATAAATCAGTCATCAAAGTTTAATGAAAACTGCTCTAAGCACTTAAAGGATATTGTCCAAAAACTGATAAATCCCCTTTTTGTAATGAATAAAACCCCATAAATCGTAAACTTATAGTCTAAAATTTATAAAAATCAAAAGGGAGCTCATGTCGATAGAAATAAACAATTCACCAAAGTTTCTTGCAAATTGGTGAAATTGTTTTTGAGTTATTGTCCGAAAACTGGAAAATCCCCCCTTTTTTGATGAATAAAACCCCAAAACTCTGAAACGGTACATCAGAAATTTATAAAAAACGAAAGGGAGCTCACGTCAATAGAAATAAACAATCCACCAAAGTTTCTTGCAAATTGGTGAAATTGTTTTTAAGTTATTGTCCGAAAACTGGAAAATCACCCCTTTTTTAATGAATAAAACCCCAAAACTCCGAAACAATAAATCCGAAATTTACAAAAAACGAAAGGGAGCTCATGTCAATAGATATAAACATTTCATTAAAGTTTCATGCGAATTGGTTAAAGCATTTTTGAGTTATTGTCCGACATGTTGACGACAGACGGACGGATGGCCAACGGTATACCATAACACGTCCTGTAAACGGGCGTATAAAAACATGAAAAAGGGGTTCTCAATTTATTATCTGGGATAAAAAAAAAAATTCCAACAATCAAGTTCCATAACTCTGGACAGGTAAAAATAATAAAAATCAAACTTAACTTGTCTTTAGTTAGTGGTAAAAAACCTTCCATTTTAATTAATTAATTTCAGATGGGTTTTCTATTAATTATCTGGAAAAGTGTGATGGATGGACGGACAGACCGAAATTTACAAAAAACGAAAGGGAGCTCATGTCAATAGATATAAACATTTCATTAAAGTTTCATGCGAATTGGTTAAAGCGTTTTTGAGTTATTGTCCGACATGTTGACGACAGACGGACGGACGGACAACGGTTTACCATAATACGTCCCGTAAACGGGCGTATAAAAACATGAAAAAGGGGTTCTCAATTTATCATCTGGGATAAAAAAAAAAATTCTAACAATCAAGTTCCATAACTCTGGACAGGTAAAAATAATAAAAATCAAACTTAACTTGTCTTTAGTTAGTGGTAAAAAACCTTCGATTTTAATTAATTAATTTCAGATGGGTTTTCTATTAATTATCTGGAAAAGTGTGATGGATGGACGGACAGACGGATACAATGATTCTTATATACTCCTGATTCTGTCGAGCATAGGTATAAAAGTGCATCTGTTATATATGAAAAAAAGAAGATGTGGTTTAATTGCCAATAAGACAACTTTCCACCACATAATGTACAAAAAAATAGTATGTTGAGAGAGTCCAATACCCTCTGCATGTTAAAGAACCCTTGAAAAAACTCTGAGAGAGATCTGTACATTTGCAGGTTGCCTGTTATAAGGTTTAATTTCTGCTCCTATCCAACATACCCTATTGCCTCAGTGGTATTCCAAATTACCAGTCTTACATTGTAGCTTAATGAATTGTTTAAATTGTTCTTGTTCTGAACGTATATTTTTCAGCAAGCAACAATCAATCAATGATTTCAACTGTCATGTACGTATGTGAGCCATCTAGTAACTCAACTTAATTATAAGTTAAAATTCTAAGTTCTTCTATATTACAACTGTATTGTAACATTTCATCTAGCTTTGAAAAGCACATATTTATTCTTTTTTGCAACATGTGTAATGAAAAAGGCATTTAACTTGCCATATTGACTGCAGAGGGGCTCATACAATTTCATGGTGGCAAATACATGTATAACATACATGTTTATAAGATTTAAAATGTACTTTTAAAGACTTGGACAGTAAATTATACAAATGTGTGTCATTGTATGTTTTGATTTTACACCTCCCTGAAGAATTAGGGTTCTCACAAGGATTTTTGTAGGCAGCAAGTCCAGGGACTCACCATTTTTGTCCAGGGGGAATCCAGGAACTCACAATTTTTGCCATGACAATTCACACAGTGTGGAGAAAAATTTTTGAAATTCTTGAAAAAAACTTGTTTGACATATTTTGATAAATTATTACGATACAAGATATTTTTGCATGGCGTTATCTGTCTTTTCTAATGCTTATCTGTGTTGTGTTTGTCTTTTTTCTATTGGCAATTGTGTTGATTGGCTTTCTTCAACCTTTGATTTGTATAGCATAGTCCCCTTGATTTTTATTGTTATTCTAAAATTACCTGTTAATATAAAATCTGTTCATTCCAAGATTGTTCTCATACCATTTTAATACTTTTCCTGAAGCACCAAGAGCACATGCAAATGTTACATGATCAATATGAGTGACTAAAGGATTTTCACAGCTACTGCATGGATTGTCCACATCTTCAAAACCTGGTAAAAAGCTTCCCTTATATTTACTGTCATCAACAATAGTATGTATAACATTTCCGATACAAGACTTAATAATGGCTGTTTCTACTGAACCGTTAATGTCTGAGATCACATTTGGGGGCTTCAATACCTCTCCACCTGCCTGACATACTCTATGTACACAATGCTTGACATCTTTGACCTTCAAGGCTATGTTGCTAATTGTGTTCACAAATGTCTTTGGAGCATTTGCAATGTTGACAGCACTGTTTATGCCTAATGATAGATACTGGTTTGAAATATATGGATCTACTAAGTGATCTTCTGTACATGTAATTGCATCAGAAACGTCAAATGTCTTGGGTTGTGTAATCAAAAATTTTGCATTTCCAGAACAAAGTACCCACTGATTATGCGATTTGATTGAACGTTTTGCAATCAAAGCAAATTTGTATTTGCTTGTAAGATCTCGAGTTAATTTTTCGCCGTCACTGACATAAAATTCTGCGTGATGAAGGCTATAACTATCCATTATAAGCCGGCTTTTTTCTGAAAATAAAATATCGGCTGCTACCGGATGTACTCTTCTTTTCTATCTCTAAGTCATTTGAATGTTTAGAATATTGAGTTTTCATTGATAATCAAATCTCTGTCATTTCAAAGCTTTCAGGTAAACAAGACTGTGCCCAGGGGGTTGTTGCATAAATTAATCGAATATTTATTACACCATATATGTAATAGTACTATTTTTATCTCTATTCATGTCGTATTACATATGTCTCTGTACTTGTAACCTGATTTGAGGGGACATGAAGATAATACAAATAAAACTTTGGGAGGCTATTTTTTTTTCATTTTCCCCTCCACCACAAATATAAAGTTTTGGGTGATATTAAGGATCAGTCCTCTCCGTCTGTTGGTCTTTTTATCTATCTGTCTATGTGCCTATTAAGTGCAACCCTTGCGTAACGATTAGACAGACATTGATAAACTTTGCACAGTACTTTCTAAAAGATAATCCCTTCACTTCATGTTACAGGGGAGATAATTGAACTAACATTTAATATTGCAATATGTTTAAATTATGTTATAATTTTCACAGACCCTATTGAAATCTGCTGCAATGTAAACTTAAGATATTAATTTCCAGAAAAGCACAGTTTTTTTCATTGTTTAACTTTTGACAAAACTTAATGTTATTGACTTTTCATATTGCAAATCATATATATGTAGCCACTTTTTACTCAATAAGTTATTTTATGCTCTTAAAGCACAATTAAATAGTTCATTTGTAAAAAGAATGTTATACATTTTATATATAAGATATTTTTTCAAAGTTGAAAGTGATATAAATCAAATATTTATTATTCCAACAGTGGACATTTACAAGCAACAATTGTAATTAGATGCATACACAATATAAGCAACAAACATGAGCAGAGGCGTTTTTAGGGGAGGGGCTGCCCCCCCTCCATTTGGAGCTACATATATGGTCAATGCATAGAATTTTTACATATCCCACTCCAAACGATGCCTAGTTTGGGGTCCCAGGCCCCCTTTTTCAAAATCCTGGATCTGCATTTGATGATACATTCTACAGTATCATATAATGTGACAGATATATGTATGATATTGAATAACATTGATGTGATTAAAAAAAAAACTGTAACCAGTTAATCAATTTGTTTCGATATATACCTCATGCATGTACAACAGCACTTTGTCATGTTTGTGATCTACTAAAACATAAATGAGCTTTATCTGTATACATACATGTATACTGTGGATTCATTATTATTCGTGGGGTACCAATTTTCGTTGATTTCTTGGGTATAGGTGAACCACGAATTTCAAGGTTCGACGAAGTATAAATTCCTAAAGGCTTGTATGCAGACTTTGGCAAAACCACGAAATCAAATGTCCACGAAAATACTATATTTCCTCAATCCTCGAAAATTGATACCCACGAAAATAAATGAAACCACAGTATACTATGGATTCATAATTATTGAGCACAATGCACTAATTAAAAATGTATATTCCTGCTCTCAAAGGAGAGGGGGTATACTGGTTTACGTCTGTCCATCCTTCCCTCCATATGTCTATCAGCAGTCCGTCCCATAAAATGTTGGTCACTCTTTTCAAAGGAACTTCCAAACAGATCTTCCGGATATTTTTGTATTAAGCTTCATGTGAGCATGTTATACTGTGTAATGCATTTTTAGATCTATTGCTCATCTGGTTCTTGTTTACCGATACTTCTATATTTTAACACATAATGACCATGTTTGAAATTTTTGTCACCTTTTTCTCGGGAACAAATCAAAGCTTTCTCAAAGTTGGAAAAACCTTCATGTGATTGATTGATTGATTGGTGTTTAACGCCACTTTCAACACTATTGTGCTATTACAGAACCTTCATGTGACATGCTATATGTATACTGTGTGATGTGTTTTTACATTCATCATTTATCACTTTCCTATCAAACTAATACTTAACATGCTTAAAAAGGGGTATCATTATTGAGAAATAGCTCATAGTTCCACTTGTTTTATTAGGTGAAGGTCAACCGCAGATTAAAGTGTTTGACGAAAACAAATTTCAAGTAGACTGGCATGCAGAATTTCTTCAAACCATGACATTAATTATCTATGAAAGTACAATTTTTCTTAATCGATAAAATTGACACCCATGAAAGTAATCTTATCCACAGAAACAACAGTATATTCCTACAAAAAAAATTTACTTACAGATTTTAAAAGATGGCTGACCCACCATCTAGCCAGTTACAGGATTTCCCACAGTTTACAGATCTAAACAATCTTGTTGCAGAACAGGTATTTTTGATTTTATGTTAATCTATTAATTTGAAAATTCCATATCCGGAAATGGTATCCAATTAATTACCAGTAGTATCAGATATCAAATAGTTAATGTCAGTCTATATTTTTTATCCACAAATTCAGTGAATTGACTGAATGGTGCCACACAGTTAAAATAATGAGGCTTAATTGTTCATAAAATGAGTTTTGGCATCTTGGGGCTTGATAGATATTACATATGAATAAAAGGAGATGTGGACTAGTGTCAAAGTAAAAAAAAATTAATAAGACAAAAAAAAACACAAAGAGGTCAACAGATGGTCTTCTATGACGTCTTGAATAACATTGATTGATTGATTGTTGGTGTTTAACCCCACTTTCAGCACTATTGGCTATAAGTTGGTGGTCAGTTTTTATTGGTGGAGGAAGGTGGAGTCTTGAGAGAGAACCATGACCTTCATCAGGAAAACTGACAAACATTTTGCAATAATGAAACATTTGTTATTATCCTGAAATACATGAAGATTAACTTCTACAGCATTTTATGTTAGTTCACATATCAATTATTTTCTATTTTCAGACTGGTGCTAAAGTCGTATTTGCCACAGATGATTGGTTTGCTGTAACTGAAAATCTATTAAAAGTAAATATAAATATCTGAGATAACCTTGCTTATTTTTATTGTTTCTGAATGCTTTCTTGGGAAATAAATTGTGATGCTAGTATTACATATTGAATTCAATGTTCTTCAGGGGCGTAGCTACCTTCTTAATGAAGTGGAATCACAAACTAAAGGGCGAGGGGTCTGGGGGCCGCGTAAGGCCCCCAGTAGGTCCAGGGCAAAGCCCTGGTAGGGGGGCCAGGGGTCGAAGCCCCCCGGAAGCTCCACATATATAGCGTTTCAAAACAATCACAACCGAAATAAAACTTGGACATTTTTGTTGTGGTTTTTTGGTCAACTATTTGTTTAACTTCGAGTCGAATGAAGACTTAACATTGTCGCTTGCGTTTTTTTTTTACGTGAAAGCTTTTAAAATCATGGAGATTTGTTCCATATGCTAGTATTTGTATTGAGCAAAGTAGATTTTAAAAAACACACAATAAACATAAACACAATACTATATGTGGAGTTTCTGTTAGCATAAACATCATAGATACCAAATACTTGGTGGACACATTCTCATATATTTTGCTTAACATATGTATTTATATGTTTAAAACTTTTGTGGGTAAACTCTACAAGAGAGAGATGGAAATTTTGAATTTTTACGTAGTTAGGAATATTGGAAGTTGAAATTAATGATCTTTTTCAGAGGAAATGGTACTTTGATCACAATCTTTTTCATGATCTGCGTTTTTAATTAGCCAGCTATGCTACTTAACAAATGCATATGCATTCGACCAGTTGTATGGCAATATCTAGATGATAACAGTGAAGATACGTGTAATAAAAGTTTGGTGTATCTTTCGAACAAGAATCAGCAGTTTAGTGTCCTACTAGGACAGACAGTTCTTTTTAAAATTGAATGACCTAATAGTCCAGTAAAACGAGTTAGAATTAACAATTTATTTAAATGGTTTTACAATCAACCATTCGTATAGCTGGTCCATATAGAAATGACTTCGAATTATCGAATCTATATAAAAGATTTTTTTTGTAAAATAAATAAAAAAGTAAAACAAGTACTGGAAAATGTGTACTTTTTTTTATAATAACAGCAGTTCCAACTTCTCATCTACTAGTATACGGAAACTATTGATTGATTGAATGGTTATTAATGTCCGGTAGCAAATATTACATGCACACAGGACGAGATACGTTGACGTGATGTGGAAATGAACTACTGTAAATTCAGAAATTATTGCGTGCATTTATTATTGTAATTTTGTTATTTTAGACTAAAATGCGATTTTAATTTTTGCGATATTGAGAAAAATCCTGTTTAATTCATATAAAATTTTCAAAATGCGAGTTTAAATTATTGCGATTATTACCCTGTCGCATTTTTCGCAATAATAGAAACATCGCAATAATTTCTGAATTTACAGTATTCGTGTTGTCAAGACCTACATACTTAGTCAATATTGAACTAGTTCACAAGGTAACAGTCATTATTCCCGGATCAATACGAGTTGAAGAGTCTTCATTCTAGTAAGATGTGTGCTTTTGGGCGAAGAGGAAAATAATAATTTTCAAGTTTTTTTGTTAACCTTAAAGGGATTATGTTTTTTTTTGCACTCAAAGCGAGTATACGGTATGGTTGTGGTACCAACAACTATGTAGCTGGTATTTTCTAAACAATACCCGTAATATAAAAAGTTCCTCTAAGTTTACACCAGTTGTATGTATTTATCGTACACATACATGTCTTACAGGATTAAAAAATTCCGCAACATGCTTTTATTCTTTGTGTAGTTTTTAAAATGCATACATAGAAAGACCAATTCCTATATGTTAACTTTGTCCCTCACTCTCTCTCTCTCTCTCTGTTTTTTTTTTTTTTTTTTTTTGTGAAAACGACGTGGATGCACGTGCTGCCATGCCTCCGGGTAGCTACGCCCCTGTTCTTATTAATCAGAATTCACAAACTCAACCTTTTCATTCTAATAACATATCATTATTAATTATTGGTCTGAAACTGAAAACTAAAATAGAAACTTCAGGGAAAAATCCAACTAAAATGAATAAAAGGGAATGTGAGGTAGACACCAATGAGACAGCAACCAAAAGAAATCTAGTTTAATGGAAAAAATGAATTACGAATTTCTTAACTCAGCTGTCAAAATCTGTTAGACAGGATGCAAACATAAAGTTTTAGATTGATTGATTGTTGGAGTTAAACACCACTTTCAGCCCTATTGGTTATATCACAAGCCTTTTTTGTTTTTGGTTGAGGAAGCCAGATTACTAGAAATGTAGACCTTAAGCAGGGAAACTGGCAATCTGCCCCTGCCATAAATGAGGTTCTAACTGACAACCTCAGTGACAGGCTAGTGATTACTGTAGATAAACTACTCAGAGTCCCCTTAAAGTTTTAAAACTCTTCCCCCCCCCCACCCCCCAATGATTGCAATGGGCTAAACTAGATCGCTACTTGGGCAGTTTTTTCTTAACATACGAATTTTGAAGGACTGAACAAAATATGAAATATAAATTTTGACATTTGACAGCCATACATGTATATTTCTTGTGAACCTCTGAAAGGTGCTGTCTGATAGAATTTTGATATTTTACTACCCCCGCTTTAGCAGAGGGGGCATTAAGGTTTACCCTTGTCTGTATGTCCCTTTGTCTCGTCTCGTCCGTCCGTCCGTATGTACGTCCTGAAATTGGTTTCTGTTATCTAACTTTAGTTTGCCCCTCCCAAATGTTATGAAACTTATACACAATGAATTTACCACAAAACTAAGGTCAAGTTCAAATTTGGGTGGGGTAACTTATACCGTTCTGGAATTATGCCCTTTATAACGTTATATGCAAGCGGTGGCATCATCTGTGTCCCATGGACACATTCTCCATTTATTTAGATTACACAATTCAAGGGGCCAACAATTGACCTCGTCATGCTTTCTGCTTTTTTAAGAGAACGTGAAAGTGAGTTTGGGATTTTCCCTACCTTTAGTTATGCAATCTATTTACAGGCAGATGAGCCGGTATTCAAAGTTGGTGTGTTTACAGAGTATGGCAAATGGATGGATGGTTGGGAAACTAGAAGGAAGAGAATCCCAGGCCATGATTGGTGCATTATACAACTTGGTATGTCTTTTAAACTATAGAAATAACAATTTGTTGTTATGCACAGTCCCGAGGAAGGTGCAAACTTATCCATATTAATTCAAAAAGGTATAGGGTATGTCCTTTGAGATTTTGTGTCATCTATTTCTGTTTCATTGTAACTTGTAATAACCTCAATCTCCTTTTAAGTTGATTTATATAAAATTTCTGCCATGGTATTTACATAGAAACAATCCTCACCAATTAATTAATGTTAATTTTCATGTATACAAACATAGGCATGTACCTTCAAGAAAATGTGTGCCTCAGTAATCAGTGTGTACTGCATAGAAATAAAAGAAGATACAGAGGGGCAATAAACTAAAAGTGGAAGTAAGACACCACCATTGACCAACAAAATAAGAGAAAAAGACAAACAACAGTCATCAAAATCCTACACAGACAGCTAAAGATTGAGCAATGCAAACCCTATAAAAACTTGAGTGAACTCAGATGCTCCAAAGGTGTTAATAGTTCCTGCTCCACTGGTGAAACCTGTCGCATGACTCCAAATTTAAAAATCAGCAATAAAGTTACAATAATTTGCTAAACTTGACTATAAAGGTGGTCTGTATCTATTTGTATGGTGTTTTTTCTTAAAGCTCATCAGTAATTGTCAAGATGAAGGAACAGTTATAAAAGTATTGTTCCTGTTTTCCAACAAATAAGGGTCTGGATGGGGGAAGGGGTCTTCGTTTTTGTGTTCATTAATTTTTAATTTTTCTCTTTTCTTTATTTTTTCGCCCATTATTATCTTTTCTTTATATTTCAGCACCCTAGCATTTTATACCGGTATTCATATTTTGGCCCATTTAAAAAAAAATTACTCATTATTTATCTGTAAAGCTCATGTCTCTTATGTAAAAACCATATAAATACAATGTAATACAGATACTCATCTTTTAAATGTGATGTGGAATTAAATACAAAAAAAGATTATGAAATATTTATAGTATCAAGACAAGTGACTTTCTTCAAGTTGAATTTTTACTTCCTATCATTGGAATTCTACTCTATGAACTATTTGGATGTAAATGCTGTTGATGCAATAAGAATAACAACTACCGGTACTACTTTTATATTTTATTTTAAAAAACCTTCTTTAAAGTTGTTATAGATTTAAATATAGTAAAAAATAACAATAAATTATTTGCAGTAATTATCAAATTGTATTTTTATACTTTCAGGTGTCCCTGGTGTAATAGTAGGAGTTGATATTGACACATCATTTTTTACAGGGAACTACACTCCAAAAGCCTCAATACAGGCAGCTTGTTTAGAAAGTATGTCATTTTGTTCTTTAATAGGTTGTTTGTTTTAGATATTCTTTCTACAAATTTATTGATGATGAAAATACCATTTAGCAAACTATTTTCCTAAGATGTCTATTTTAACTTTGGAACAAAAATCATTAAATTTTTTTTTTCCATTATGTTAAATTAATATTTTTTTTGCAATGTTTTTTATAATCGTAAAAATTATGATGGTACATGTATTTAAGTAATAAGAGATAAAATGACTGATTCTGTTTTAAACAAATGTATGATACCATTTTAAGTACACATAACACATGCTTTTTCAGCTCACCTGGCCCAAAGGGCCATGTGAGCTTATGCCATCACTTGGCGTCCATTGTCTGTCGTAAACTATTTAAAAAATCTTCTCCTCTGAAACTACTGGGCAAAATACCTTCAAACTTTAACTGAATGTTCCTTAGTGTATCTAGTTTATAAATTGTATCTTAAGTTTTGATCTATCAACAAACATGGCCACTGTTGCTAAAATTAGAACATAGGGGTCAAATGCAGTTTTTGGCTGATATCTCAAAAACTAAAGCAGTTACAGCAAATGTGAAGGGGAGTTAAAGTGATGAATAGGTCAAGATCTATCTGCTATGAAATTTTCAGGCCAATTGGAGACGACCAAAACAAAGAATTTTTAAGTGGCATTTTTAAGCAAACACCAATATAAATCATGATTGATGAATGAATTGAGCAAAAAAATTCAGGTAAGGATTCAGGCTCTTGAGAGCCTCTTGTTAGTAATTGTATTTTAGGAAACAAAATACTTAAACATGTTTGCAAGCTTTAAAAAATGTTAAAATATGTTGTATCTTCTAAATCTTCCAAATAATGAAATTTCATGCAAGCAAAATTAACCAAATCTACATGACAAGATATTTTTACTCATATGACATTAGGGATTGGAGGGGGGATCAATGAGCCCCTTCTCTCAAAGGTCAAAATATATTTTGATAAGAACACTCAAGAAAAAGATATTTGTTAATTTATAAGGTAAAAATATAGGTCTTTAAGCTTTTATAATTCTTGGCAGAGTGCAAAATATATAGTCCCTTCAAGGTAGTAATAAAGTTAGTTTGCCTCAATTGTTCACAGCGTATGAGAAAAAAATATCTTGTTATAAAATATAAAACTTTCAAAGAGTATTTTGATCTAATTATGATACCCATGCAACCATTTATTTTTTTAGTGGAGAGGGTGAATATACATGTATATATAGTAATCACCCTGTCCACCCAAAAGTTCTCTCTATCTGCCCATGGTCCATGTGCGTTATTAGGCTAGATGGATATTGTTGAAACTGTACACAGTTATAAAATATAGAACACTACCTGAGGATGTGCATAAAGGGACATAATCCCAGTCCAACATGTTAAAGGGGAGATAATCGAATTACTTACTTCAATATACTAATGTTATTGGAGGGTGGGTATCCTTTTTTGAGTTCACTCACAGTTCTATTTTTATCTCACTGTATAGATCTTCCATCATTGCCGGACAGAAAGGGGAAGATGGGCACTGCAGCAACGGAAAGTCAACTTAAACTGATTAGTAGACTGGGATCTCAGGTATGTTTTTTTATGCAGTTAAAAAAGTTTTACTCATGATATAGACATGGTTTTTCTTTTTAAAATAAACAGAAGGGTAAAAGATAAGGGTAATGCATTATCATCAGTACTCATTTCAAACTAAATTTAGATTGATGAATTCTTTTCTCTTTCTATAAGTTTTGTTTATCACTTTATATTAATTTTTAAAATATTGGAGCAGTTGAGGAATTTTTTAGTAACAACTATGGTTTATTATGGCTTCCCTGATTTATTTGCATATCTGCACAGTAACCATGATGAATGAAAATGTCATGACTTAATGTGTTATATCACACAATTGACTCACCCTGAGAACAAAAATGCTCTTAGGCCATAGTGGTTGGTTTTGATGGTTGATTATGCAATCCCTATAGTTTATCGCCACTTTGACACAAAGTGGTTGTAGTGGTTTTAAACTTAAAGAAGAAAAATTGGCCCATTACTCAAGTCCCTAAATCAATATAAATACATACTAAATAGGTAATAGATGCTTTTTATAGGAAAATAAATACAAAAAGAATTATGTTTAATTAGAAATTCAAAAGATAATAGATAATAGTTTAATGTGTTCTTATATAAAATTGAAATACTGAATTATGAGAACTTATCATACATTTTAGATGAATTTTTATTTCAGAACTGGGATGAAATTCTACCAAGTACAGCATTAAGACCTGGCTACAAAACATCATGTCATAACTTCTTTGATATCAAATACAACAAAAGAATTACTCATATCAGACTAAATATGTTTCCAGGTAATTATACTTCCAATTAGCTTGGTAGGTTGTAAAGGGGGGGTATATAGTTTTTAACTTGTCAGTATGTCAGTCATTTTAATTTTTTTGGATGCTTACTCCAATACTTTATATTGGATTGTAGCTATACCTGGATATATGGTCACATATAATGAGAGGAGGATCCCTATTGATTTTGAGTTCATTAGGTCAAAGTTCAAGGTAAACTGAAGTTTGTGCAGAAAAGTCGTTTCCTGATGCCCAATCAAATACTACATATGCCATTGCAACTTTTCTTGGATATATGGTCAGATATAATGAGAGGAAGATCCATATCAATTTTTAGGTTACTATGTTTATGTCAAGGTCAAGGTCAAAGTTACTGAAGTTTCAGAATGCTTAATGAAATGCAACATATATGCTATTGCAACCTTGTTTGGATATAAGGACATATTTATAAAAGAAAAATCCCTGTATATTTGAGGTTACTTGGTTTAAAAATTTATTTGTTTAAGACAGTATAATGGAACAAAAAAAAAGCTATGCCATTGGGTCACTATAAGCTTTTAATTCTTCTATTACAGATGGTGGAATAGCAAGATTACGAGTTTATGGAAGGGCATCTCCAGACTGGAAAAAAATATCATATCAACAGGTAATACTGTCATAATTCCAGTCAATATTAGCTACAAAACTGACCAATAACCTTCAAATGAAGAAAAAAGTAAGGGCTGGTACAAATATTTCAGAATTATGGAGCTTATGTGAAAAATTAACTTTTAGCGTAGGGTGGACATTTTTGAAATGCATTATGGTATTTGATTTGCAGTTAACACGGATACTGCACTGAAAGATATGTTTCTACATTGATTTAATGATTAAGGAACCAATTTTAGTTTCAGATTTACTATCTTTATTTGACAAGTATGTGTAAGGTAAAGCATAAAACCTTACATGAGTTATTTTCTTTGTAGATGGTAGACTTAGCTGCTATGGAGAATGGTGGCATCTGTGTAGGTTATAGCAATGTTCATTTTGGCCATGCAAGAAATCTAATACAACCAGGAAGAGCAGACACCATGGCTGATGGATGGGAAACTGCTAGAAAGGTTGGATAATTTATATTTTTACAACAGTATTGATGAAAGAATACTTAATTTTTTCCTGTATTTGAACTGGTTTATATGACAATTTTATTATTTCATTATCTTAAAACATACTATAGAAAGAGTGGTAAACCAAATTCCAGACAAATAAAAATTAAATGCATTGTTGTTAGTGGTGCATTCAGGGTGAGGCGTAGAGGGTGTAAGTCACCCTTTAATTGGAAAATATATGATTTTTTAGCATAATTAGTCAAAAATTTGCCTCCCTCCACTCTAGTTTGATTTCTTGTGAAATTGTTTAATGGGTGTTTATTATAATTGTCCTTTATCTGCATTTGATTCTTGGTTTTGTATATTACAGCCAGGAAGACCAGCAATATTAGAGGCTGATTCTCAGGGAATTCTTCAGGTTCCAGGTCTGTACAAAATACAATACTTTTAGTTCCGAGATAGTCAGTTTAGCCATGTCTTATTTCATTTTTCACACAAAAGTGACGTGATGAAGTCAGAAATCAATACAATGTCGTCTTTCATGAAAACATCAACTTATATGTGCAGTAGGTTTTCATTAGAGTGAGGGTCGAATCCATTTGCTTAATTGACCTTTTGGAAAACTAGAAAGATGCATAGAAAAATGTTACATCATACAACTTTTTCAACCTCTAAATTGAACCAACAATTACTCTGAACTCTCCTATGGTTTTTATATTCACCAACATGTTTGTTTCCTATCATCGTTTGATGAGTTGTTTTCTGTGAATCTGATGTTACTTGTAAATCAAAGATAGTTAAAATACAAGAAATCTGTAAGCAGTCAATGATAAAAATAAAGAATTAACATAATATTGTATAAGTACAGAAACAGTTATAGTTTCCAGAAGAACAATATTGTAAAAAAAGTTTTGAATATATAAGCTTAAGCTAAGTTTAAAAGAAAAGAAATAGAATGTTCTTATTTCCATTCTCAATATTTGAAGTATATGATCAATTATCTGTCATTTTGCTACTTTTAGGTCAGGATTGGAGTATGTTTCGACTGGGACATCCTGGAGTAATCACAAAGGTCAGTTAAAGCACACATGTAAAAATTTATATTCATAAGTCACAATCAATATATAGTATTAAATACTTTAAAAAACAGTAACTTGTGAAGTAAGGTCTGAGGATTTGAATATTGTGTGTTCAACAAATGTATGAGAGGGGACATTGTTTTGCACTGTCCATCACAAAAGTTTAACAGGGTAACATCTTTTTAAGTTTACTACAGAATTATTTTCTGTCAATTTTTCTCAAAAACTTTACATTTTGGATGAAGTGCAGAAGTGCTTCCTGTTTAAAATTTTATCATCACTTGCTTTCATTTTGTATAAACATTCAAAATGGCAGCATACAATTTTTAAGCAGTTAAGCTGCTTTATGCGAGCACCCTAGATTTGTGTTCTACCCAATAAATGCTGAAATATGTGCCATTGTTATTATCTGGCTGGCTATTATGTTATTTATAACTAATTGAACACTTTTTTCATACTTTTAATTCTGGAATACAAAAAATATGACTAGAAAAACCTTAAATGATCGTCGAACCACCCAAAAGTTTTGAAGTTGCACATAGGAAGTAGTGCTCAATAGAAATCCTTATGTAGTTTATTATCCCCTGTGCTTTTGGCCAAGATGTCAAAGAACAATTGCATGAATTATTTCATCGCCGAAAATCTCTAATTACAAGTCGTTTACAGTTGCCAAATGGCACAAAGCGCAGGAATATTGTATAACGGCTGTGACTAATATGACACGGAGTTGAAGTCTCAGTTGGCGGTAATTTTAACTTCGTCGACAATACGTAAATCAAGGACGTTTTAAATTTGGTGATTTCTGATAATAATCATTTTGTTCAACCGCTAGCTTTATACCGAAAATCGCCAACATGTTATGTGTAAATCCGAGTAAATCGTATCTGACTGACAAAAACAACATCGAAAAACAATGGATGCCATAAACCGGAAATGAAGACAATTATAATACCGGATCTAATTCCGGGGGAGGATAAGGGAAAATCCGGGTTTGCCGATCAAATACAATAAAAATATAATAATTCCAGGCATGAGACAAAATACATCTATCATGATGAAATATAAACTCTAGAATTGAAAACCAAAGATATATTGAAAAGAAAGAAAAAGCAGGAAATATTTTATACAGAAACTCAAAATTACTTTTAGTTCACAAATTTTCATGTCAAAAACCAATAAAATGTGACAGTATTTTCCTTATCATTAATAAATATTGATATTACATGTAGATGTTTTTATTGTTTAAACATATTACTACAATTCCATGAGGTAATTTGTTCTCAATTTTGAAGGGCCTATAAAAATCTGGAAGTTTCTTACTTTATTTTCACAGAGGAACTAGCTAATATAATATATAGTGCAACTAGATATGATACACTTAAACAGTTTTGAATTTGAACTGTTTAATATAATGGTATAATTAGTAATAAATAATCAATTGTTGAGACAACACATCCACCCACAGTGATACCCTCAGCCTCCCTCAGCCTTCCTAATACAAAAAAAAAGATTATTTGAATTCATAAATTAATATACAAGACAATTACATTTATTATTAAACAAATTAAACGACAGTGACACTGACAATGAAACAAGCTAACTTAACACCAAAAGCACATTAAAGTATCTTACTGAGTTATGAACTATTTCAAGTAAAAGCAGGACCTGGAATTTAGGTTGTGGACCTTTCAGTTTGGAGTGTCAAAGGTCCTGGACTGTCCAGTACCAAATGTTAATTTTAACCCCTGCATTCACAGTAAAGCGATTTTGACGTGTATTGCAATTCCAAGTAGAATTTACTTTTGGACATTAAACGTTTCGAATGCGTATTAAACTAATTCAAATCAGTTAATAATGTGAATCGAATTCGAATTATGTGTGAACGCAGCATTGATATATCTAAGAAATGAAGAATATTAAAAAAAGATGGACAAAATATTTGTATTAATTTTGTTGCAATTTTTGTCTTGCCTTGACAGAGTCAAAAAGTGAGACATATATATATATATAGGCATGCTGTTTTGGCGGAATCAACAATGTATTAGTTTGTGATTTTGTGGTAAGGTCTGGTTTCTGGTAGGTCAATGACATTTTGTAAGTAGTTGTGTTAGCATAGGCACATCTCATTACCATAGAGAATATTTGGCCCCACTCCCTGAGTCATGGTCTATTGACTTTGACACTTTGCATAGTTTACATGTATATGTTTGTGATTAGGTCAGTTTAGGGGGAACCACTAGTGGTAGGTCAATGATATTTGGTGTGCAGTTGTATAAACTTTTTCATTTCTAATTTCCATTGAGATTATTTGGCCCCGCCCCCTCAATCATGCTCTTTTTACTTGAAAACTTATGTTACTTTGAAATTTCATTTATTAGTTTTCGATTAGGTTAGTATTAGGGAAACCAATAGTGGTAGGTCAATGATAATTGGCATGTAGGTGTAGAAGCATTAGTACGTCTCATTTCCATAGAGGATATTTGGTCCTCACCCCTCAGTCATATGCATGATCTATTGACTTTGAAACTTTTACTTAGTTTACATGAATGAGTTTGTGATTATTATGATTATGTCAGTTTAAAATTACCAGTAATCTTAAGTCAAAGCTATTTGTTATGCGAACGTATTGGTATTCAAAAGTTTCATTTCAATGGATATTATATAACCCCACCCCCTCATTATGGTTCATTGACTTAGAAATTGAATTTGTGTTAAGGTTTGTTTAAAGGGAACGACTTATGAAAAGTCAATGGTATTTGGTTTGCAGTTGAACAAGCATTGGCACCTTTCATTTCCATAGAGATTGTTTAGCCTTGTACCTTCAGTCATGGTTCATTGACTTTGAATATCACTTACATGTTAAAGTATTACTATTTTAAGTGTAACATTTGCATTATCAAAATAACAAATAGGCAAAACATTACGTTGTGTTAATAGCTTATTATAGATTAGACATGTGTAATTATTATAAAAATAAGGAGATTGGTATGATTGCCAATGAGACAACTATCCACCAAAATTCAAATGAAGTGGATGTAAGCAATTACAGGCAACCGTACAGCCTTCAAAAATATATGTTGCATCATTGCTAGGCCATTATAACAACATCAGCATTTCTTGTAATACTAGTATACAAGAAAATTACACCATTTCAGATAGTTTCAGGTATGATTTGATAATTGTGCATAGTGGCACCAGCTGATCCAACTAAAAGCGCTAATATGGCATATTCAAACTCTAGAACATAGTGGAATTAAACCATACACCACTGTTGGACACCATAATTGAAATTATTATTCTGAAAAGAATATTCCTCCATGCAGCCTGCAACAATTAGCAAAACCTATACTGCATAGTAAGATATAAACGACCACGAAATGACAAATGTAAAACAATAAAACTAAAGCAGCCTGATTTATGTACAAAACAATTATGAAAAATAAATATGATATACAGCAACAATCAACAATCACCAAATTACTGGGTCCTCACTATGGACAGGTACATACAGAATGTGGCGGGTTAAACATGTTAGCTGGCACAAAACTCTCCCCTAACATGGGACAGTGTATGTGCTTAATCTCAGACATTGAATCTTTAAAAAATAAATTGGAAATAACTTTTGAAAGTGGTAGGATTGGATAGCAGAAACATTACGGTACAAACATTATTTGATACTTGAGAAATAGCTGAGATATATAGATTCTACCACTGCATCGAGTGTGATACGATATTTATCCACTCGAGACAGTCAATGACAGTTAAATTTTCAAATTTAAAACGCGAGGCTCGCCGAGCGTTTTAAATATTTAAAATTTAACTGTCGAGAGTGGATAAATATCGTATTACACGAGATTTGGTGGTGGAATCTGTTTCTCTAATGATTTTCAAACAATATTCAGGCAAACTTATTCCGTTTTTTCGAATGATCTGTAAAAAGATGTGTTCTTTCTATGTGACGTCATCAGACATGGTCGCCTTTTTTCATGCCGTCACAATAGGAAATTCAGAGGAAAGCAAGTAAATTCGACGTCATAATCGGATTTTAACCAATGAAGAACTGACATCAAACGAACCACACGTTGATTAAATTTTTTGTATACAATGGGTGCAGAAAGGGATAAATTGACGAAGAATTAGAGAAAATTATTTTCATCCATTCTTCCGCTATATTCATCTTAACTTCTGCCAAGTTTACCTTTGATTTTTTTAATTAACTGCCTATAGCGCCTTTGGTGCTTTGATTATATATACAGATCTTCCAGTTAAGACATGTATGTTATTAACATTTTGAATATAAGAGTAAAACTTTTTACACAAACTTCGACTAGAATTGTCTAGTGAGTTGAAATCAGTGCAATCCTCTTGACATTACTTATATGTTATATAGCTAAAATTTGCATAATGAAGATGTTCATCATAGCTGGTAAGATATTTATTCAATTTCAAGGATTAGTAAACATGTATAAAATAAGATAATAATTTATTTTGACATATTTCTATCAATACAAAACATTCAATGTCGATTACTTTTCTCAAATTGATAAAATTTTGATTTTTAAAAACATAGCTGTTGAGAGCAAGGAATCCATTTCTTACCTGTGATCTTCTAGAGGAATGTTTCACAATATATGCTTTGTATTTTAATGTATTAGATAAAGGCCCTTTGATGTTTCTTTTCAGATTGAAATTGACACAAACCACTTCAAAGGAAATTATCCAGACTCCTGCTCTATTGAAGGTAAAAATTGTCCTTCCTTTTCTGTAGTTAGTTCATGTTTTATTTTGAAGCTCATAAAGAGGAACTGCCTTTAACGTTTTAATATTGAAAAATAAACGTATGTTAACAAAACAACTCTTCATTTTAAGAATGTTTATATCATGTAATTGTAATTATGAGAAAAGTAACAGCCTGATGTCAAAATGTTAAAAATATTGGTGTACTTGTTCAAACAAATAACTTTTTACAAGACAACTAGACAAATTTTCAAATTGAGTTGATGAATTATCCTAATAATAGTTATAATTCATGACAAACATTTTACAGGTCTTTTGGTTGTGTGCTTGCCTTGAGTGCAAGAGGGGTTGGGTTGACTCAAAGCTGACTTAAACAAAAGAATTGAAAATTGATATTTGCTGTTTCTCAACCAAGCATGTGGCAATTAGGAACAAGAGCAAAGACTGTTTGGCTTGGAGATCAACTAATATATCTTGCGAGAGTGACATGTTTTCTATGTTACCTTGTGAACTAGCTCATGAAAAGTCAGATTGAACATGTATACTGTAAATTCAGAAATTATTGCGATGTTTTTATTATTGCGAAAAATGCAACAGGGTTATAATCGCAATAATTTAAACTCGCATTTTGAAATTTTTCATATGAATTAAACAGGATTTTTCTCAATACCGCAAAAAATTAAAATCGCATTTAAGTCTAAAATGACAAAATCGCAATAATTTCTGAATTTACTGTATCTAGTACAAAGCTTACTTCATATTCATATTACATTACAATGTTCTTAAATTGTTGCTACTGGATGTTTAACGGTCATCCTTCCAACAAAACATTTACAATATGTAACATTTTAAGTCTGGACAGGAAATTAATCATTTTTCTTTTTATATTTCAGCATGTTATGTAAATGATGACAAAGAAAATGAAATAAAACAAATTTTCAATAGTCAGCCTTGGAAAACTTTATTGGCACCAAAAAAATTGAAAGCTCACCATAGACAGTTTTTCTCAGGAAAAGATTTAAATAATTGTGGAGTAATCTCCCATGTTCGACTTTCAATGGCACCAGACGGTGGTATCAGTAGGATGAGGCTATGGGGATATAAACAATCCAACCGTCAAGCCAAGTTGTGATTCACAGTTTTCTCATATTGTCAGGATAACTCGTTTCTGTAAAGTGATTATTTTCTCAGAGTTTTAAATTCATAATTTCTAAGACTGAATCTGCTGTACGTCCTGCTCGCAAGGTTTTGTTTTCACATCCCCTCCCCTGATTCAGAACTTCCTCAAAGATCAAATTGTATAACACAAGGGGATATTTGCTCAATTTTATCTTCATTGTGAACTTCTTTACATTACTATAATATCTACTTACCAAAGATGAAACAATCTGTATTTATATGTTCTACATTTTATTACCAAAGAATGAATCAATCCATTTTTATAAATACTACATTTTATTCTATAATAGTTAAAATGAATTAAACTTAGTTAGATATATAAACACAAATCTTACATTTTATCACAAAGAATGAAACAATCTATTTTTATAAATACTATATTTTATTCTGTAATAGTTAAAATGAATTAAACTTAGTTAAATATATAAACACAAATCCTATATTTTACCCTTTTTCTTTTGACCTTAAATGAACCAAGTTGAATATATAAATAGAAATCTTACATTTTATCCTCTCTCTGTTGAACTAAAATGAACTTATTTGAATATAGCAGAAATACTACACTTAGTTTTCTTTTTAATTGAGTGAAATTGAACTAAGTTTAAAAGTTTTAGAAAATTGTCTTATCATTACAACAATAACTTAGTTATGGTATTGCAGGTGAATGGGACACAATTATGTCATTTCATTTACATTGTTCTATGGATATTTAGATTGGAAAAAAAAACACAAAAGAAATGTTTATTACTTTTCCAACTTATATTTTACCCACATATCCATCTCATCAAGGAACAGTGTGAAAGAAGATAATGTGGATATTTGAAGGAAAACTCCAAATTCTTTTGTGATTTTTTAAAAGCTAAAACTGTATCAAAAACATTCAGATGTGAACATGGAGTTATTTTCATTTGTTGGAAACGGTAATGCATTGAGAATTCGTTGTTATATTCATTATATATACTTATCTTTAGTTTTTTTTGTGAAAGGGAAAAGGGAAGGGGATGTAGCTCTTTGTTCAAATAGATTCCTAAAAAGTTATGTTATTGCTGGTCCCTAATTGACATAATCCTGGTTTAATATGAATAATTGATATTACATGCACAATTTATAAATTAACTTTGATGCTTTTTTTACATGTGTATAATATATACAGTTGCTTTATATAATCTATACCAAATAAATGATCTGCTAGTCTTTTATGATCTGGATTTATTTGTTTTTTTATTGAATTATTGTTACTTATTATTAATTTGTAATAATTGTTTATTATAGTCTAATAAATTATAATTCATATTTATTTCATATTGTGAGGCATTTAGTTTAGTTTTTTTTTTACTTTGACTCTCTTTTTTCAACTTGCCAATATTTAGACATTTACTGAAATAAAGACAATCCCTTTGTTATGAAGTATTATCTTACCTCCTATACATTTCTAGGAATATGATTGGTTAAAAGCAACCTTGTAGAGACTGTGTATATTCCATATTGGGTTAGTAGGCGGGGCTTATTTCAATATATGGTTAGTAGTGGTGTTACGTCCTTTATAAAAACAACACGGTGTTGGGGACAATCTTATAGGTTTCAACAGACGAAGAAATTGAGGATGAACGATTGAAATAAATTCATAAGACGCATTTAAAGCTAACAAGTTGTTATTGCTGGCATTTGTTTTTTGTATAGGCCAATGGAAGTAGGTTCTGAATACTAACGGTATTGAAGACTTGATCACTTTGATAGGCCACTAGTCTAAATACCACATGTTAAGATAGTCGGTAAGATAAATTCGTTACATAGTGTTCTAGTGACCTAATACGATATAGGTCACTAGTGCACTATGTAACTAATGTTATTTGTTTAATCATTTTAATGAATATCTTGCATCCAAATTATACAGGTGTTTACTGATATCCTTGCAATTGGTCAGTCAAATTTTAGTTTTTACAAATGTCAGGTATTAACATTGATATTCATATATGGTAAAATAGCTTGTTTCAGGTGATTCAGGAGTTTTATTAAAGAATTTCTACTTGAGTACTTGAGCAATTTTTTTTTAAATGCAGATCTTCTTAGTTAGGAATTAACCAGTTGAAAGACAAAGTAAACACATTTGTAAGTTGGAATTTAATGTTTGGATTTCTATTTATTTGCCAGATCTGAATTTATATATGCACATGTATTTATATACTTTATTCAAACAAAGCTTTAATCAAACAGTATCATTGTTATAGGCTTGCTGATCGAGATTTCAATGTAAATGTCTAAGAATATGTTGTATCATTTCAAATTTAAATAAAGGGAAATATGGGTAAGAAGACATCACAATGAAACAAAAAACTGAAATGTCTAGATATCACTGTATGGTCTTTAATGGATTTCTACAAATGATGTCATTGCAGGCATAGTTTTTGCTTCATTTATCTAATTTTACATTTATGTGTGTGTAAAAATTCAATTTTAATGAATTTTTCTTCTATTTAATTGTGAGAAACAGATATAATGTTAGTAACGTCAGGATATTCACTTTTTACTGATATTCAGATGTAAACATTAAGCTACTAAAAAAAAAGAATTTTTAAATGTTTGTTCGAAAATATTGGCTCAGGATGGGGTTATTGTAAGCCTAAACAAATACTTATCAACCTTTTTGTCTGTATATTCCCTAAACAATCAAAGTTTACAAGACAGTATATTTTAAGTGCATTTTGATATCAATTTCATTATCTCCACAGTCTAAACGTTTATTACAAAATTTAATTTCAGTCATTTGGCATCTTTTCTTACAAAAATATGTTCAAGCATTTACAACACTTATCACATTTGGATTCATAGATCTTTGAATATGCATAATTATGTAAAATTTCTTTCAGTTTCAGTGCTGTGTGTAATTGGGTGCATAATAGAAGTTAAAATGAATATATAAATGAGAATTTGTTGACTTTTTAATGGATCTATAATACTAATAGTATGTAAAAATGTCTTCAAATATGTGCTTGTTGTCTGATTCTGAATTTTTTAATAGAAAAATGTTTTGAAAATGAATATAAAACTATTTTTATAATTTTTAATTTGTTATTTCTTGTTTATGAGGGCATATTGATTAAAAATTTTCATTTAAAGAAGACAAGAGTTACTCTTATTTAATAGATTCACCAAAAAAAAAATAGAAGTTGTTATTCAATAACAATAATAAAATCTGCTAAAGATATTCATTGTATTTATTGAAAAGATAGAGGCAATTCACAATGTTATTGCATAAATCTGTCAATGCCTTTCAAACTTTTCTTGATATTTATTTTGGTTGCAGGTAGTGACATTTTTTTGTCTATAAAGAGTATTAACGGAAGGATTGCATTGTAATCATCCAAATTCTTAAGCTCTTTTTGCCAAATATGAGCTTTTTTTATTTAGGGGCCAGCTGAGGACCACCTCCGGGTGCGGGATTTTCTCGCTGCGTTGAAGACCCATTGGTGGCCTTCGGCTGTTGTCTGCTCTTTGGTCGGGTTGTTGTCTCTTTGACATTTTCCCCATTTCCATTCTAAATTTTATTTTGTTCTTGCTTTGGATTTATTTGGTATGAATATTTCTTATATCAGAAGACTTGACAGAAAGAAAATTTATCATTTAAAACCAAAAAAGATAATAGGATTTGGGTGAAATTTCTGCCCTAAATTTTATAAAACTGAAATAACATTAACTGAGTATATTCTAATTGATTACATTTAAGAACTGTTACATTAGTTGATTTGCTGTTATTGGATGAATTTGTATTTGATCTTGCTTATTCAATTTTCTGCTATTCAATTATTACATATGTAATACATGTATCATTTTATTTCCCCAATATTATGAAGTTATTATGTTTTCTGGTCTTTGCATCCATCAATCTGTTTGTTAGTCTGTTGGTTTGTCCATCAAGTATCGGGTAAAGTTTTAGTTAAGGTAGTAAACGTCAAGGCCTGATCACATCAACTTTAAACTTAGTACACATGATCATTTTAATTTAGTGTGAACATTTTAAAATATCTGCCAGATTAAGGTTTTGACCTAGAATTTGGATTTCATAGAAGCTGGTAATGTGAAAGTGTGAGTGGGGCATGGTGTCTTGATGACATATTGTTGTAAATGTGTATAAAAAGGTTGAAATGAAAAATATTTGAAAAAAGAGTTGGAGATTTTGTGAGCTTTCTGATGTCACAAAATCAGTTCAAACCATTCAAACCAAACTCAACAACTTCATCCATATTAAAGGTATCTACTTCAAATAAATATATTCCATGATGTTGCTGAACAACCAGCATGTACTATAAATAAAACATATATAAGGCTTAACTTGCCCTACATTTTCTGAAACTTATGTAGATTATGAGTCACAGTTAGTTAGCCCTTTGGTAGTCCCTTTCAGAATTGCTATGGATACTTCCATATGACAAATCAATATGGCCACCATTACAAATTAAAAAAAATGGCAAGCTTTACTGTCTCCTTGGAGCCACTAGTTTGATCACCTGGCATGAAATACCAGTGTGAACTTTTGCCATTTCTTCACAATTTGTTATTTATTTAAAAAATCGTTTCCTCTTAAAATACTATGACACTTGGAACCAGATTTTTTTACAACCAATAAAGTTGGTATTTAGTTTCAACATTATATCAAAACAACATATGGCCATAACACTTAAATAAAACATGGTAAAAACTCATCAAAGATACCAGGTTTATGGTTGATATGCCAGATGCCTGTCATCTACATAAGACTCATCAAAGATACCAGGTTTATGGTTGATATGCCAGGTGCACAGTCATCTACATAAGACTCATCAAAGATACCAGGTTTATGGTTGATATGCCAGGTGCACAGTCATCTACATAAGACTCATCAAAGATACCAGGTTTATGGTTGATATGCCAGATGCACAGTCATCTACATAAGACTCATCAAAGATACCAGGTTTATGGTTGATATGCCAGGTGCACAGTCATCTACATAAGACTCATCAAAGATACCAGGTTTATGGTTGATATGCCAGATACACAGTCATCTACATAAGACTCATCAAAGATACCAGGTTTATGGTTGATATGCCAGATGCACAGTCATCTACATAAGACTCATCAAAGATACCAAGTTTATGGTTGATATGCCAGATGCACAGTCATCTACATAAGAATCATCAAAGATACCAGGTTTATGGTTGATATGCCAGATGCACAATCATCTACATAAGACTCATCAAAGATACCAGGTTTATGGTTGATATGCCAGATGCACAGTCATCTACATAAGACTCATCAAAGATACCAGGTTTATGGTTGATATGCCAGATGCACAGTCATCTACATAAGACTCATCAAAGATACCAGGTTTATGGTTGATATGCCAGGTGCACAGTCATCTACATAAGACTCATCAAAGATACCAGGTTTATGGTTGATATGCCAGGTGCACAGTCATCTACATAAGACTCATCAAAGATACCAGGTTTATGGTTGATATGCCAGATGCACAGTCATCTACATAAGACTCATCAAAGATACCAGGTTTATGGTTGATATGCCAGGTGCACAGTCATCTACATAAGACTCATCAAAGATACCAGGTTTATGGTTGATATGCCAGGTGCACAGTCATCTACATAAGACTCATCAAAGATACCAGGTTTATGGTTGATATGCCAGGTGCACAGTCATCTACATAAGACTCATCAAAGATACCAGGTTTATGGTTGATATGCCAGGTGCACAATCATCTACATAAGACTCATCAAAGATACCAGGTTTATGGTTGATATGCCAGATGCCTGTCATCTACATAAGACTCATCAAAGATACCAGGTTTATGGTTGATATGCCAGATGCCTGTCATCTACATAAGACTCATCAAAGATACCAGGTTTATGGTTGATATGCCAGATGCCTGTCATCTACATAAGACTCATCAAAGATACCAGGTTTATGGTTGATATGCCAGATGCACAGTCATCTACATAAGAATCATCAAAGATACCAGGTTTATGGTTGATATGCCAGGTGCACAGTCATCTACATAAGAATCATCAAAGATACCAGGTTTATGGTTGATATGCCAGATGCACAGTCATCTACATAAGACTCATCAGTGGTCCTCTTATCAAAACAGTTGTAGAGCCAAATCAGATCCCAAATAATAATAGTTTTCTCTACAGTTGTAGAGCCAAATCAGATCCCAAATAATTATAGTTTTCTCTACAGTTGTAGAGCCAAATCAGATCCCAAATAATAATAGTTTTCTCTACAGTTGTAGAGCCAAATCAGATCCCAAATAATTATAGTTTTCTCTACAGTTGTAGAGCCAAATCAGATCCAAAATAATAATAGTTTTCTCTACAGTTGTGGTCTTTTTAAGCTATTGTTTGCCACTTGATGGCAAGCAATTAGTCAGAATTCTTATGCATGCCATCCAAGATAATCATTATTAATATAAACAGAGGGTATGCAGGTATAATAAAGCCACATGTTTGCCCCCTTGAATTTAAACATCAACAAGTTTCATTAATCTACCAAGAAGTGTCCCTCAGATATTACAAGACATTAGTCTGTGGGATATCAGTATTTATTTATTTGCATTAGGGCTTCAAACTATGTGGCATTTACTCCTGAAAAACAGTCTCATTTTGAGTTCATGTCATGAACAAAGGCCTTACCCAAAAAGATATTTTTGCTACACAGTGTTTTATTAAAAGATGTTAATGTATCTAATTTGTCCGAAAATTCTGTAGATAGTGGACATTTTAAGTAAAATATACTAAATTCGACAAAGATTCCCTATTTGATGTTGATTAGGTGACATATGTGGCAGCGATGATTTCGCATAGATTACCATAGGACCGTGTTGGAATCCCCCATTACTTTTTTTGCTATGAAAAGCATGCATCAATTATAGATTCAGCTGCATTTTATTGCAATACACATTTTTATCTTTTTCTCTTAAACTGTAAGGCCAGTCTGGAGCAAAACTTACACAAGGTCATGTGTTTCTCCGACTGTTTATGACGTCTTTACATTCGTTGGATGTGTACTGATTGATACCGTTTAGTCTAGGAGAAAATGGTTTATTAGTTGTTATTGGCTTTGCGCTAGATTTTATTAACTGCAAGTATTCTTATATCGGTTCTTTGTGCATTTTGTTTTTATGTTAGTTATTTTTTTGGTGTTTTTTTTTTGGTGGTGCTTCGTATTGATCTATTGAGTTAAGCCATTTGCAACTGATTTTTACTGTTATTCTTGCGTTGTACTGTTCATCACTGTCGCAGGCACTACAAAAGTCAAAAAGTCTGAAAAGACCAGTTTTTGTCTGAATTTGCATGAATTTTTACTCGACATTCTTAATTTGTCTGAATAATTTTTAAAAATTCTTGACATAGTATGAATTTGTCTAATAAGGTTCTTGATTTTTCTTGACAAGTGTCTTGACAGTATGAACATTGTCTTAAAATTTCTCGACACTTCCTGTGTCATCTGATAAGAGTCTGGATTAGTCTCGACCAATTCTTGACTGTCTTAAATTTGTCTCGATCTGTCTTGACATATTCTTGACATTCTTAATAATGTCTGAATATGTCTCGACATATTCTTGACATTCTAAATAATGTCTGAATATGTCTCTACACATTCTTGACAGTCTTAAATATGTCTTGACACTATCTCAACAGTATAAATTTCGCCTGAAATGTGAACTTATTCTGCACTGTTTATGACATTCTATTGCTGTTATATACTCCTTTTTATTATGGCTAAACTAAACTTTGAAGAATCAAGGAGTAATTTGGTATAGTAAGATACCCTTTTGGTGCAACTAAGTTGGAATACCCTGAATAATCCCCCATGTAGTTTAATTTTGATTTATTTTTATTAAACATTTAAGTAATTGTTTTCACTTGGAATATAAGTCGAAGGTATTGACAAACAGCATTTAGATTTTTGCCGTTTGAAAAAACTGCCAGTCAAATTGGCTTTACTAAAATAGGTGTCTTGTATCTCTTTTTGACCCCACAATTCATCTTTTGGGTTTGTGTGGCTAAAAAAAGAGGGGGGGGGGGCTTTCGCTTAGGTCAAAGAATTTGTTCCCATCTTGATTCAAAACCCTTATTCATTTTTTAGAACAACCCAAAAACATTTTTTATTCAAATTTGAGTGTTGAATTTTATAATTTTTTATCAAAAATAAATA